GACAGAAGAGCTGGCATCAGCCTTCCAGGTGACCTTGCCAGCTTATGTAAACAGGCTCTGCACAGTCTAACTCCCATCTTACCTTTTCAAGCTTGCCTTCTTCTTCACAGCGGAGACACTGAGGTTTCTAGGAGCATCTCTTAGCCCAAAGCTCTTAGCCACATGCCCAAGGTGTAGCGACCTGACATGGAAGATAGGCTTCAGCTCCCTAGGGTAGGTGGCATAGGCTCGGATGAAGGACTGCAGAGCTAGAAGAAAGGGGGAGGGGAAAGAAAGTTAGGGGTTCTGAAGTCTCAAGGCTACCCACCCCTATGCTACCCTCCTTTACCTTGCCAAGAAAGAGAACAGAACCAGGACAATTACAACACAGGTAACCTGAAGCCACACTTGTGTATGTTCTTAAAATCTCTAAAGGGCTGGGGAGATGCTCACTGATTAAGGGGACGGACCGTTCCTGCAGAGGGCCTGAGTTTGGTTCCCAGAGCCCACATCGGACAGCTCCTAACAGCCTGTAACCCCAGCTCTGAAGGGATCTGATGCCTCCCTAGGCAACTGCACTCACCTATGCATACCACACACAGATACACATGCATATACCTAATCAAAACAACAAAAGTTTAAAAAAAAAAAAAAGTTAAAAAAAAAAAACAACAACAAAAGTTAAAAAAAATCCAAACAAAAAATTACAGCCAAACTTACTCAAAAATCCTCTAACATGTGTTTTTACTGAGGAGTTGGCAACAGTCCAACAGGGCAGGGCCTGTTTTCTCCTTTGTCACACACAGTCTCAAGCCTACAACAGTGCCTGGCATGTAGCATGTAGAAAATGTTGATCACTTAGTTTCTTCATTCAATCTGTGACCAACATTTTCTTATGAAAATTCTTAGATATTTATTAGAGAAAAAAAATCAGTTATTTTTGAATAGTTAATGCACACAATCATGCCAAGGAGAAAGGATATCGTAAAAACTAAAATAGTGCAGGTAACAGTTGACCTGGGTACCTGCTACCAGGCTGGAGAGCCCAGTTACAGAGCTGCAGCCCCAATTTGAAGTTAGAAGGAATGGGTTCCTTGTTCTAGACCCCAGCTGCAGCTAGAGATGATCTGGACTCCATTCCTAAGTGCTGGAGCTTTGGCTGGGCCCCTGTGCTTTACCCAGACGGCCCCCTGGGGACAGACTCTCCTCTGTCCGGCTCCCTGAATATCCCAGAGAAAGTGAACGTGCTGTCTCCCTCTCCAGCAGAGGGACAATCTGCAATGTACTCTGCCCACCACTGCTCTTTGAGTGCCACACCCAACTCCTCTACCAGGAGGGCTGGCACCAGCCCTGGACCTCTGAGGAAAGAGGCATCAAGCACCAGCCTCCCTCACCTGGGTGGTTGAGCCACTGGACTGGCAAGTTTGCCCACAGCTTAAGTGTAATATCCCAGCAGCACCTGGAGATTGCCGTTTATGAACAGTAATAAAAAGTGTCATTTTAGCAGATCAGCTCCTGGAAGGATCCTGGGAATCCATCAAAGCTCTATTTACTGAGCAAAGTGAACTCCTTTTCCCAATCGATGAGAAATAATAAGCACAGCAACTACTCTGCACCTCTCTCTTAAATCTGTGTTCACTTCCCTTCCAATAACCAGGGACCAGCTTTTTCAAAGAGCATCTTTAACACTTCAAATGGTCTGCGTTGTCTGGAGGGTTCCGACACGGGCCCCACCCACAGTTACTCACATTCTCAGAGAGGAACTCACTGGCATTGCAGTGACCACCAAGACCTGACTCCTCTACTTCCCTTTCTTCGCCCAATCCCAACACTTACCTCTGGTCTAAAACATCCCACCGAGCCAAGCTAATCCAAGAGTCCAGGCCACCCCAAAGTCAGCCCATATCTCACTTCCTGCCACTGTTCCACATAAGCAGCTGAGCCCTGGGTCTCTGCCTGGCTCACAACCCTCCTCCTCCATAGCACACACTTCCAGGAAGCAAGAAAACAGATATATATCTGTCCCAAGAGATGTAGGTGCCCAGCTAGAATCTTTACAGGGATAACAAGCTGCTGAGCAATGGCAGGAAATGTTTACACCCAGACATGGGCCCAGGCAGCATTTCACACTGCATATTTAACTAAACCTTAGTGTCCTCCAGGTTTAGTGTCACTGGGACAGAGACAGCTGGCTGTCCTTGCACACGTGCATAGACTTCCATGTTTGGCTAACTCTGAGACAGCAGGGGCAGGAAGTGGTTCAAGCTGGCAGTGTCTAGAATGTACAGAAGGAATAGGGCTGTGGGACCAGCACAGCAGAAAGTGGAGAACTGAAAGGAGACGTTTATTCGGGGTGACGGATGGAGCTACAGGCAATGAAAGTTGAGCATTTTAGTTGCCGGCTCTTATTTCCAGGGAGCTATTTAAGGTGTATGAATTAGAGGGAATCTGTCTAAAATAATCCACTTGGACACCTTGCCCTTTTTTATTCATGGGCATCTGGATCAGGAATGGGAATGTCATACAGATCACTCCTAGGAGAAGGTGGCAAAGGAACAATACTGCAGGCTGGAAACACTCCTCCCGCCCACATCACAAGCCCTATCTAGTCCACCACGAAGGTATACATACCTATACCAATTATCCAAAGGACATGAGAAAAGAATGCCTTGTTATGGCTCTCTTAAAAGACAAAGCACCTGGCAACGTGCCCAGCCAATGCCTTTCCACTGAGGAGGTGAGGAGGTAAATGTATTATTACGACCAAGAAGTGTCCCTTCCAAGCACAAGTGTAAGAACCACATGATTCCTACTCTGCAGGAAGGCCAGAAGATGGAAATGACAGACCATGGGAACAGGGGCATGTGTAGGCAGAGGACTCTGCTCACCAAAACTTTCCTTCAGAGTCTAGACTGAGAACACATTACAACTACTTCTGCAGCCTAAGTCCCTAACCAACACACAGAGCAGAGGAAAAGGAATGACTGTTCTAGAGACCAGCAATAATTAAACTGACTATTAATAACGATAGGGTCAAAACATGCAAAATGCACACTTGGCCCAGTTTCTACCTAATTTTCTGCCATAAAGGCAAGGCCAGCTGCATTGTTAATTATTCACGAGGCAGGTTCTGCAATGTCACAAAAAGGCAAGCAAGCAAGCTGGTTGAGGAATTTGTATATGTAAACTGAAATGCAAAAGGTAGTATCAACTTATGGGGTACAATGGCTTTTCATATGTCATGGGTTAAGTTCCTTTAGAGCGGCAGATGCAGACACATTCCTCCAAACCTCCCAGTCACAATCCTAAGTAATAGGAGAAATTAGTGAAGGTCCCTGTGTCCCAAGATAGGTGACTAAGGTCTAAGGTGAGGGCAGCTGGTTCCAGCCCTTACAAACCTGGAGTGAAGATCAGTTGGCAAACAAGAGCAATGATCTGTGGACTTCCTTCTTGTATGTATACCCCACAAACATGGGGAGCAGCTCTGCTCCTACAGCTTCAATAGACTGCGGATGGCAGACACCCCCATCACAATCTCTGACAGCTGCCTGTTGCTAAACTTTCAAGCGACTATCCAGGCACCTACGTAGGGCAATCTTGCCAAAGTACAGGAATACCACCGAAACAGCCAAAGTGGATGGTGTGGCAGGCATCTTTCCATGGCAACGTCACTAACGATCTGAATTTAGCTTCGGCAGTCACCTTCCTCCAAAGGTCAAAATCGCAGTGACAGTCTTTGGCTCCTCTACAGGGAGGTTCTCAGGAACTATGGGGAATTGCTGAAGACAAGGTATTATTTGAGAAGTGACTAGAAGGACAGACACCAGTTATATATGGCTGGCAAGGATAGACTTCCATTATATGCAGTTCTGTTTGAAGTATTTTGACAACCAAACCCTGTGCTGAGGGTCAATGATGGCTATCTGAAAACATCTGTTGATCTTTTTGTTGCTGCTGAGGACAGAGCTTGGAAGCCTTGTGCTCTCTGGGTAAGTGCTGGACCACTGAGCTGCATCTCCAGCCCTGCTGCTCTGTTTTTCTCATCTACTGCTTGATGGCTACTCACTGGAACCCAATCTCCAGCTTTCAATCTTACCCCAGGGTCAATTCTCACAGGGCCGCCAAGTGACCTTTTAAAACCCATGGCCAACCTGGGCGTGGTGGCAGAGGCCAGCCTGTCCTACAGAGTGAGTTCTAGGATAGCCAGGGCTACAAGGAGAAACTCTGTCTCAAAAAAACAAAAACCCAAAACCAGAAAAACAACAACAACAAACAAACAAACAAACTCCAAACCAACCAACCAACCAACCAAACTCCTTTGGACCCCTGAGCCACACCTTAGTTCAAAGCCTACAGACTTCAGAGCAACCCCCAAGCCCTACAAGATTCTGCCCTAGCTAACCCACCCTCGACTACATCACTTTCCTTCCTTTAGAACATAAATACTTATCCCAGTTTGCCTTGCTGAACCATCACATTCTCATCGAGGCTTACTCTGACCTCTTTACCAATCACATTCCAGTCATTACACCTGCTGTCCCTTTCTGTAGTCTGGACCACTATCTAAAACACCTGTTCACTATGTTACTATCTCGCAGCTACTCCTGTACCTTTAACACATTAGTTTATAAAGCAGAGTTTGTTTTTGTTTTCCACCCACCTCCTCATGCACTGAAGCATCTGGGACAGCACCAAACTCTAGTAACACTGCCAAATAAATTACTTTTAAAAAGATACTTCTAGCTGGGAGTGGTGGTACATGCTTGTAGTCCCAGCACTTGGGAGACTACGGCAGGAGGATCTCAATTTTAAGACCTGCTTGGGCTACATATGTAGCATGACCCTGTCTCAAAACTAAATGAAAACTATTTTTAAAAGAACGATAGCCAGGCTTGGTAACACCTTCAACCCAGGCATTCAGCAGGCAGATAGATTGCTTGTAAGTTTGAGGCCAGCCTGTTCTACAGAATGACTTCCTGTTTAAAAAAAAAAAATGCTTCATTCTTCTCAAAAATCTCAAGGAACTCCCCAAAAGAACTGTGTACCCCTCCAACTTGGGTCTTTTTTTTATTTGGTTTTTGAGAAAGGGTTTCTCTGTGTAGCCCTAGCTGTCCTGGAACTTGTTCTGTAGATCAGGCTGGCCTTGAACTCAAGAGATCTGCCTGTCTCTGCTTCCTGGTGCTGGGATTGAGGGTGTGCACCACCACTGCCTGGCTCCAACTTGGATCTTTGCACAAATTAGTCAGCAGCAGGAACATTCCACTAGGAAAAAGAGTTGGAGATTCTAACCACACTCACTGCTCAAGATGAGCTATTAATTCCACCCTTAACACCAGGATCCCAGGGGCTAATTTATCTTACAAAAGGCCCGAGAATTACATCTATATCACTTTTATGAATCGCCCTTTCATGGTCTACGGCCTGTCCTCACAACCATTCTCCTTTTCATTTGTATCTTCACACAGGAACTCCTTAGGTCTAATGCGTCCAGTCCTTACCTTCATCTCCAATTTCCATCCCTACAACTATTTCTGCCAACATGTCATCTCTGTTGTCTGGTGTTCAAAGACAGAAAAAAAAAAAAAAAACCAGATCCCCAAGATCCAAGCTGTTGGGTCAGAGCTCTAGTCCTGATATAAGCCAAGATAAAGCCTCATTTGTGCGAAAAGTGGAGATGTATGAAATTAGCATTTAATATCACTTTAAAGCCTTCCGAGCCTGATTCCAAACCCTGCAGAATTACTGCAGAATGAAGGCTTTGATTGGTACACAGAAGTCCCTGGATGTCCTCTTAACCATGGAAGTGTGTGGTGAGGGGTGAAGCCAACACCTTGTGGGGCTACCCCACCCCCAATCTCCTGAGAATTCCACTGACCTTTCTTTGCCCAGGAGACCATCCTCTCACTGGAGTGCACATAATCTTCAAATACTGTCTGCAATACTGTGGCTCGTTCTCGGATTTCCTGGGGGCCACTGGCATGGGATTTCTGGGAGGGTGACGGAAGGATTAAAGGAGAGGCAGAGTTGAAGTCAGGAATAATGAAGCAGTTTATAATAGATTTAATAACAGTAAAATCACACGGTAACCACCCAGGGGCCAACGAGGGTAATCCTTTCAATATTACTAGGGAAAGAAGGGAGCTATAAAGATGTTAAAGTCAAGCAAAGATGAGGACGGCGTTAAGGGGAGCAGACCAGGTCTATTTATTTGTTTGCCTACTTTCCTTCATGACCTCTTATCACTCATGTTCAAAGTGAAAGACCTTTGGAGGTACTCTGGAGTTTTCCAAGCCTAATTCTGGCATTTTAAGCAGTGAACACATGCTGTTTTTAAATAACTCTTTTCCCCTTAGACTTTCTCCCTTATCCCCCCCATCCCCATCCCTCCCAATGGTAGAAAAAAGGCATTTTTTTCCCTTAAGACCATTCCAGTGATCTGCCTAAAATTCAGCCTTACAAGGCTTTATATCCCTGAGTCTTGAGCTTGCTCCCCATTCCTAGAGGTTGGCTACCAGTGTTTTAGGTTTGCTCCAGAAGCCTGTGACCACCATGCTAAGTTCTGAGGGCCTATTAAGAAGGCGGCTTTTCAGTAAGCCACATTCAAAGGCTGCCTTAGTCCCTGCAGCCAGGAATACCACTGTAGCCACTGAAAACTATTAATAATATATATGACCATTTTCATCTTTTAAAAGTCCCAGAGAAAAGATGTCTTTTAAAAATTCCTTCTAGAAAGTAGTGATTTTTTATTTCCTTTATCTCACAACAAACAACGGCACGAAGAGACTTTAGCCTAGGAAGGCAGGTCACCCAAGTGCAGACACTCATGTAAAATGGCTACAGAGCCCCAGACTCCATCCTCCTTTGTAGAACCCGGGCTTCCTCTCTGCCCTCAGAGGACAAGTGTGGGCACCCGAGTCCCCCTGTGTCTTTTAAGGCTGGAGAGGAAGAACAGAAGGGAGAGGAGAGAAAGCCTCTTTTTGGACGGACAGACGCTCTTCTCTGCGTGAATAGACTTAACAACACGAAGATGTTTTGGTGTAGTCACATCATCCTGCTACCTGTTTGGCTGGTGACAGTCTAGCTGATCTCACGGTACCTGGTCCCCAAGGGTTTTATCCACCACACTGTCAGGAGACGCGCCACCGAGGAGCCGTGTTACCAAAGTGGACATTTGCTATTGTCATTAGCAAGGATCTTTTCACCTCTTAACTGATGTGAAATGCAAACTTTTCTGCTGTCCTCCTTTCATTAAGCCACCTCAGCAGCACAACTGTCACCTTGCCTGCATTTTTTTTTTTTAATATGAATGTGAAATTAGTGAAGATGCCCTTTCCCCTGGCGGACAGAATCCTCTGTTATTAAAAAGTAAAGCACTTTAATAATGAAAACTTTTTCCTCTTTTTCCTGTGTTTTAACTGTTTAAAATTAATGAGAAGGGCAGAATGGTTGTCAAAGCGATATTGAAAGCCGGGCAGCCAGGACCGAATAAGCACAAAAATCCCTCTAGAGTGTTAAATAAACAGAGCTGCAGCCCTCTCTGAATCCCTCTGTTGGTTATTGTATACATTCTGTAACAGCTCTCAGAATAGATCTGAGAGCCAGGGAGGCAGAGAGGTTTCAGAATTCCAATAAAGGCCTCAAATTAAAGACAGCCTGGTGCGAATTCCAGGAGAAAATTAAAGAGACCTCAAGCTTAAGTGACAGGTGACTTGCTTCTGTGTCACAACTGTCAGGGGATTTAGTGATAATATGGCAATATATTACAAAGGGCTTTTCTTATTCCCCCCTTTAGGTTTCAAAATGAGGCATCTTTTCTTCCCAACCAAAAAAAAAAATTACATATATATAATGTGAGTGTATATACAAGTGAAATGTGTAGAAAAATGATAAAATCAGGCTTACACAGTTAAAATGATGAGGTCAGTTTTAGTGAAATGTATGAAAAGTTAATGACAGAAAACAATATATTTAGGAAAAAGCATGTCTTACCCCCAATTCCAGAAATACTTTCAGACTGCCCCTCCCGAGAATGAATGAGGTGATTTTTGGTTGTGGGGAGGACAGTCTAAATTTAAACTGGAGACGGAATGGGGCAGAGTTCGCAGTGCCACGGCAGCCCGAGACAGGTAAACGCTCCTGTAATGAGAGCGGGTCAGAGCCCCAGGCTCGTGAGCAGGGAGCACTGCCCCCCCCCCCCAGACACAAGCTGGCGACAGTTAATGAAGCCAGCCTGCAGCTAGCGGACCCCGGGCAGTGGAGAAAACATGCTTCCAGCCTTCTGCTGGCTCTTGGTGCCCTGTCTGCAACACCCCACTGATCCTGGAGACAAAGACCATGAGAAAAGATGAGCTAAGGGCTCTGATCTGATTTTAACACTTCCCAATGCCAGCGACAGTTTGGGAATTTTACAAGCAGAGCTCACAGGACAAAAAAAAAAAACAAAAAAAAACTGGGAGGAAAAACAAACATGGTGCGAGGGTGCACACTCTGCATGAAAACTTCACAACGCCCAGCAGCCAAGAGACAGACACCTCAGAGAAAACTAGCCTGGACCACTGTGTCAGTGGAAAGTTTTAGGTGATGGCAGTGCTGGGCAGGAGTGTGTGTACAGTGGAGGCACTGTGCTGAACAGCCAACTTCCAAGATATATTTAACTAAATGGAAGAATTTTGTTTTAATCACTTTCCTGCCAAGCTAAGCTTCACCTCGTGGTCCCCAGAACCTTCTGAGTGCCTCCCAGTCAAACTGAAAGATCAAATTTATTCTCTTTGTAGGAAGGTGAACACTCACACCCAGACGCAGCTGTATATATATTTCATACACCTAAATATGAAATATACATTTTACAGATGCTTCACTCGCTTTCTTTCTGTTCACAGAAGTCCAAAAATGTGTGTGCCAAAGAGTCCAAAAATGTGTGTGCCAAAGGGACATTTACCATGGGCTCGAGAGGAGCTGGTGAAGAAGAGGGAGGGCATGGGGACGAGGTGCAGCATCTGTAGGCTGGCCCCTGTGCAGCCGCTGCAGAGCTGTCTGCATTTCAAGGGGAGGGTAGCCAGGACAGGTGCACTTGTCATGAGAAACAGAACAGAAGCTGGACCAGCATCCACTGAGCCCTTCCAGGCCAGAGCTGTGTGATTAACAACACTGCAACTTAGATCAGGCAGTCTTTCCTTTGAGTTAAAAAGGAAACTGGGTCCTATAAGCTAGGTCTCAATCAACAGGAAGTCCAGTGTGACGAATTTAGTTTTCCAAGTTAATCATACCTGGCAATGTCAGTGAAAACCCAATCTTGCTTAGCATTCCCTCTCAAACAAACAGCAGTAAATCATAAAACTAGAAAAGCATCCAACTCATTCCTACCAAAAGGCGGGAGCCAGGTGGGCGGGGGAGATGGTCTTCGCCCTGGAGAACTCACATGGTTGGAAGGCCAATGAGCTCTTTCTGCTCGTTTATTAAACTCTCAGGCAACCTCAGATATGGGCACTCACATTCTCCTTCTACAGACAGGAAGACAGTTCTGGAGGAAGGAAATCTGCCCAAGGCCACAAAGGTCACAGTGACGAGGCAAGGACTTGAGGCCAGGCCTTTACAATGGCTGCTAGGGCTCAGGACGTCTTTGAGGCTGGCCCAGCAAGAGAAGGCTTAAGGAGAAGAACTCATGCTACAAGACCACAGAAGGTCACATGTTAAAATGACATGGCCAGTTGCTGAACGGATAGAGGGAAAGGGGAAGGGGGCCACTGTTCACACAGATACAAGGATCACCTACCTCCCTGGAGAGAAAAGACTCAAACCAAAGCTGTCCCAGAAACAGACCATAGAAGGGGTCGGATCTCACTTTGTCGCTCTGCAGCCAGTTCTCATTTCTGGAGGGCGGGCAGATGCTTACACTCCATTTATAGAGCACTGGCAGGAAAGTGTGGCGGCTACACTGTACAGCCCTCCCTACTTCATGGGATACTTGGTGCTTTAAGACCTTTTCACACTGTCCTCTACTCTCCTAAGAAGAGCATGTCCACCTCAATTTTACACCTCAAGAAGCTGAGGTGTGCGAAGGCTCAGGACTCGTAGAGGCGCTGGCCGAGAAGCTGACCTGCTCTTCACCCCCTCTCAACGCCGCATTCCCCACAGCCACCAAGCTCCCTGCTGACCTGTGGAGCTGGACCCAGGAAGCAGCTTGAAGTAGTTACAGGAACAGTAAAACATAGGAACTCTAAGCACAACAGTTACAGAATAATAGAGGGGTGCAAAGACCACAGTGCATCCGTGTAACAGATGCTCAATCCCTTAAAAATAGACCAAGCTCACTCTAGTATGGCTGTGATGTTTCTTTCCCATGCAGTCACTTAGAACAACTTGTTGATCAACTGCATCTTTAACAGCCTTTTCTAATCACAAGGGTCTGTGGTGTGGTATCATTTACTGACCAAACTTCATCTCTGTGGAAACATCAAAGATCTACTTAAAAAAAAAAACAAACCAAAAAACAGTTCAGTGTGGAGTTTGGAGTGCAGTTCTGTTATAAAATGAACCTTGGGTACATTGTCAGTGCCACTGGAAAGAGCATTTCCAGCTGGTCATGTGGGCATACCTGGACACTCAGCACTGGTGAGGCTGAGCCAGCAATACCCTGAGTTCAAAGCCAGTTTGGGTTACATAGTGAGACCCTGTCTCACCAACAAAACAAAGAAACCAGGTGGCACTTGGGTTCCCCTTCTGTGCCGTGGTTAGGCAGTCCGAGTGGGGGCACAGGGTGAAGCTGACACGAGCGCTCTTGAACCTATCTTCAAGGTTGCTGGCTTCATGGTCTGTGCAGCTCCTTCGCTCTGAGCATCATTCTCCTGGCCTAGCAAACAGGTCCTAGCCACCTCCCGGGGTTACTACAAAGATTTACTGGGGCCCCACTCAAAACTACTTGCTGACATAGACTCCCTTAGGTGTGCTCTGGAAAAAGAGAGCTTAAGCCAGGGCCTGGCAAATCTAGCCCTACCTCAAAGGCAGTATTGGTCCAAATACAGGCACCTGATGCATGAGAGGGATATCTCAGCCTGATCCAAGTGACTCTGATTTTCCCACTGCATCACCAGGCCTCAGAAAATAAATGTAAAATATTCAAGTGATTAGCCAAGTCACATAGAGCAATACACATGTGCATATGCTACACTGAGCAATGGACTGGGGGGCGGGCCCGAGAGGCAGTAGGGAGGGGATGCTCAGGTCTGCAGGCACAGCTCGCTAGCTCCATATGGAGCTGCATGAATAGTAAACAATTTTTCTTCTTAATGATCTCAACTTTACCCTTCCTCTGTGGACAGTGCACTCAAATTAAAAAATGGACAACCTAAGTGTGTCTGAAAGAGAGACAGAGATATTTATTTCTTCCATTCTGCTATGGATGGACAGGTCTAGTCAGTGGTCCTCGCTGATGATCTGGAGAGGGGCCACCACCTGGGTGAACTTACAATGCTGGCTCCAAACTCAATGCCCTAGACCTCCTTTCTGCGGAGCCTGCTGCTGCTTGGCGGTCCTCCAGAATGGACTGGTGCCCATTAACTGGATGAGACTAGCAAACACATGGGGGGTGGGCACTAAAAAAACCCCGAAAAACAAAAAAAACAAAACAAAACTACAATCAAATCTGACTTCATCTAATACTCATAATCCTTAAAATGTACATTGTTTGGCAGAAGAAACAGCCCACACATGAAGTCCCCACACCCCAGATCAAGATATGAGCCACTCACCTGGGCTCCCCTCTGTCTCCTTTTAAAACAAGCATCCTTTGTCAGGACAGCCAAAATATCTTCCATCTTAATCTCAGAAACACTGTAAGAAGAGCACATGGAAGTCAGCTTTTTACTTTCCCGGAGATAGCACAAATTCTGATGTATAAAACTGGCCCGTTCTGAAACTAGACCTGAAGTACAAGCAACACCCAAGAAGAGACAGCTGCCAGTGAGTACCTCAATTGGTACAGGACTTGCTACCACACCCACAACCTGACTTTAGCCACCAAGACCTACACAGTAGGAGGAGAGAACTGAATCCCAGAGTTGTCCTCTGACCGTCACACTTGTTTACTGACCCCCCCACATACAGCATAAATAAATGTTAATAGAAATTGTTATGAAGAAAAGGATAATTTTCTTTCTCTTTCTTCCTTCCTTCCTTTTTTTTCTTTTTTCCAGACAGGGTTTCTCTGTATAGCCCTGGCGGTCCTGGAAATCACTCTGTAGACCAGGCTGGCCTCAAAGTCACAGAGATCCGTCTGCCTCTGCCTCCTGAGTGCTGGGATTAAAGGCGTGCGCCACCTCCACCCAGCAAGGATGACTTTCTTAGGCCTTTAGATGTCTGATAAAGGGAAGGTAGCGAAAGGGCCGAGTCAGCCAGTGTCCCATACTTTCCTCTCTCTGATGGTCCAAAGCATGTTACCTTACCCAGGAGTTCTTCCTTCTTTCTGCCCACCCATCTTGCTCCCTTTCCTTTTCTTCATCTACTTTTTTGGGGCAGGGTCTCATGTACCCTAGGCTGCTGGCCTTGACTCACCATGGAACCTCGATCTTCCTGCCTCTACTCAGTGCAGGGATTACAAGCAAATGTCAACATGTTGGCCTCTGCCATTTTTATTTACTTGTATGTGCTTGTGTATGTACATGGACGCATACATACAATATGGCTTGTGTAGAAGTCAGAGAACAACTGCAGGAGTCAGGTCTACCATGTGGGTCTTGGGGGTGGAACTCAGATCAGCTGCCTTGCCAGCCTTCTGCCATTACTTCTTACTAAAGCTTGGTTACTAACACAGTAGGTTTGCTTCCTGACCTAATACTTGGACTTGAGCAGACAAGGAAAGAATCATTTCACATAGGCTGTTAGAAAACTCCTTAACTACTGGACCAAGAGCACAGTGATGGTGGTGAGTGCCCCAACTCTATCCATGACTCCTCTGTTCTTTCTCTATTCTAGAGAGTCTCTGATCCTCTTGTCTCTTCATCATTCAGAGCTGAGGACCAAATGATCCCTTAAACCTAGAGTCACAAGCAAACTGTTGAAGCCAGGAGTCAAAACAAGAGACTGTAACTGGCCACTGAGGAGAGTCTGGCAACCCCAATGCAACAGTGACTACATGGCCATGGCTCTGGAGTCAGGGGCAACATGGAAGCACAACCAGAGACAGGAAGTGTGAGCTGCTGAGCTCATCCTCCAGGGAAAGGGAAGGAGGAGCTCCAGGGGAGAGAAACAGATCATGAAAAGACAAATGATTTTGTTGTATGTTTCCTTTTTCCTTTTGGAAAATGTAACAGCAAATTAAAACATGAATGGCAACCTCTTCCCGGTGAAGACAATTCTCTCCCTTTCCCCAGCAGTTACTCGACAAGGCTATGAATGAAAATACCACATCTGACAATCACAAACCCGAGACGTATCACTCCTCCTGAGTCCTAAGACCAGCCCCCATCCTCAGCAACACACAGTCCTGTGCATGAGAGATGTCTCTACAGCAGGGAGAGGTAGCTGCAGGAGCAGAGGGTTGGGAAGATGGGAGGCAAGGCCAGGGTACCCTTCCCCCAGGAGCATTTTGTCCTGCCCCCAAACCTGTGAAGCACAGAGACATACGGTGGCTGAATTTGCCTCCTACACCTGAAAACCCAATGGTGGGAAGGTGCACTTGTGCTCTTCTCTGTCCCATTTGACTTATTGATTACCTGTGGGGGAGGAGAGTAGAGACAGATACCCAAATGGAAAACAAATGTAAGAACCTGGAGTAAAGTGAGGTGTGGTGGCTCACAGCTACAATTACAGCATGTGGGAGGTTAAGGCAAAAGGACAGACAAAAGCCCAACGCTAGATCGGGCCATGTGAAGAGTTCAAAGCCAGCCTGAGCTACAGGATAAGTCCTGTCTCAAAAAGGAAAACAAGACAAAACAACAAAAAGCAACTTTGGGAGTGGAATTTTAAAACACACACAGAGAGAGAGAGAGAGAGAGAGAGAGAGAGAGAGAGAGAGAGAGA